TCAAATCATATGGTGGGCAGCTCCGCTAGCCAGTCAGTTTCAAATACTTGTAGAGCAATAAGTGTCTAATAAAAAGTTCCTTTTCCCTATGTTCTTTTTATTTCTCTAAGGAATTCTTAACCTAGAGTTTCAAAGATATATACTGTGTTCATGGAATGGAAGATTGGATATCAATGTTATTAGGAATACCAATTACCTCCAAACCAAACTACAGAATTAGCTCGATCTCAATCAAAATCCTTGAAGATCACTTTGCAGATATCAGCAAGTTTATTCTAAAACATATGTGGAATGGCAAATGAATTAGATTAGCCAAACAGTTTCTTAAAACAGAAACAAAGCTGGTGGGCTCATACATTGCTGGTAGAAGTGAAAAATTGTTCAGCTTTGGAAAGCAGTTTGTCAGTTTCTAACAAATTTAAATAAATAATTGCCATATGACCCAGCATCCCTCCCCACAATATTCACTCAAGAGAAATAAAAACCTACATTCACACAAAACCTGTATGTGAATGTTTCAGTGGCTATGAACATCATTGCCAAAAATTGGAAAAAAAATAAATTTCCCTACAAATGGTGGATGGATAAAAAAGTTATCATACCTCCATACAATGGACTACTCCTCAGCAATAAAAGTAACAAACATTCAACAATGTGGGTGACTCTCATCTATTATGCTAAGTGGAAGAAACCAGACTCAAAAGGCTACAGATACATGATTTCATTTATACAACGTTCTAGGAAAGGCAAAACAGTAGGTATGGGGAATAGATGAGAGGTTGTCATGGGTTAGTGGTGGGGAAGAGACTGGCTGCAAAGGAGCAGCAAGAGGACATGTTTTGCGATTGATGAAACCATTCTGTAGCTCGACCGTGATGGTGGTTATGTGACTGTATACATTCATCAATTCTCATAAGACTTTACAACAGAAGAGTGAATTTTATGTATTAAAATTAAAAACGTATGTCTTTCTTAAACTATTAATAGGAATGTAAGACAAAAAAAGAAAGAGGTGATTTCTCTACACTGGGTTGGTCTTGGTCCACTTAAAATAAAATAAGTTTGGTCTGGATGCCATGTTTAAGAGCCAAAGGCAGAATGGGAAGCTTCATGATGGAATGTCCAGGATGTGAAAATGGTCTCCATTCTATGCTTCTTATGGAACATGTTTTAATAATGAACTTTGGCAAAAGGAAGAATCTGTCCTGAGAGATATAGTTCTTTGTCACTGAAAATGATCGAAAAATGAATTCTGGAGAGAGGGGACTTGATGACCTTTAAATTCCTCCAAACATTGAGATTCCAATATTCTTTCAAAATGAAATCAGTGGGTTGTAAAGATAGGCGGGAATGGCTGACATGTAAAGGCAATATTAAAAAAGAGAGTGGTGGACTTGCTTGAACTTTTGAAAAATTGAATTTATTCCAGCTTTTAAAGTATCTTTTATATATAAAACATTTATATAAAACTTTTTGAAATTCGACATTATATCACTGAAGTTTTTTGATGTTTTTAAACTCATATATGTCTGCTTCATGTATTGTTATATCAATATTCCTATTTAGTGTTATCATTCCATTTGCTATTCAATATGGATATTATTGAATTTAGTTTTAATTTCTTTACAGGAAAAAAAATCACTCCATTTTAAAGAACTTAAGCCTTAGTGGCTCATTTAACTATAAAGCTCAAAATAGCTGTCCACCTAAGTTAGATTAATATATCTTCCCCTCAGGATATATACAAATGAATAGGTAAATAAAACCTGTATTTCTCGTTATTCTTTACGTCTTATTATGGGTAAATGGGCCTATAGTATTATATAAGGACAAATTGAACAGACAATCATCAGTGTTTTAGCAACATAGGAATAAATTAACTTGTGGATAGAAGATGCTTTTACGAGAGATAGGCAGAGATACCCATAATTCTGAAGAACTTCTTCCCACTGTCTTTTGTCTTTTATCTAGGCACCATGCTACCTGGGACTGGGTTTGGCAGAGGTAGCTTGGGAGACGTTATCCAGAACATTCTTTAAGTAAAAAGCAAGATTCAGATTAGATTCAGGACTAGTTGTTTTTCTCCGCATTTGTCTTTACGTTAGAGAACAAATGCAAATACACCCTTTGTGTTACTTATTTCCACTTTACGTTTGTCTATGGACACCATATATGTACACATCATATGAATAGTTATGATGTAGTGTATGCTTTTCTCCAGATTACCACACTTTGGGTATGTCAAACATCAATTTTAAACATATGTAAAGGATTTCTTGATTATAGACACTGAATTCTACAACATAGCTTTATGAGTTGTTGTTTTTGCATGGTAGACATTACTAGAAGTTCCTACCAACAAAATAGTTTTCTAAAGTAAAAGTAGTTTCTGTGATCTAACATCTAATACTTTTCAGGCCATTACCCCTAAAAAGAATTTAGAAACTTTTTCCTATAAGAAGTAAATTTAGTGCTTCATTCCTAAGCCTTTTGAGTTGCTTGTAAAAAGTGCATGCAAAGTTTTGAAATGCTTTAGCTTTGCTGAAACTGATGAGAGAGGTCATGAGTAGTAAGACAATCCACAGGGTAGCAGCACAGATAATAGCTCACGTGTGCAAAGCAGTCCTTTGCTGTGCAAGATGATAGTGTGCAGCCAAGATGCAACTTTAGTTGAGTCTTTGCCACAACAAAACCTTGAAGCAGTCTAGGCTACAGATTTACTAGCCAGTTGGAGTAATGCAAGCTTAAATATCACCGCTCAGAGGAAAATGGATTTTCTCCCTCCCTAATTGCCCTATTAGTTAGCTCAGAAAGGGATACATGATTTATGAAAAAGGGAAACACCATTGTGGCAGGTTGAATAGAGTCCGCCAAACATTCATGTCTATCCAGGACTTCAGAATATGACCTTCTTTGGAAATAGGCCTTTGCAGATGTGATTAAGTTATGGATCAAGATGAGATCATGTTGGATTATGATGGGACCTAAATCCAGTGAGCGTCCTTATAGGAGGCAGAAAGGGATACATCCAGAAAAGAAGATCATTTGAAGTCAAAGGTAGGCAGACATAGGAGTCACGCTGCACAAGCCAAGAAAAGACAGGAGTCAGCAGAAGCTGGAAGAGGTAAGGAATAAATTCTTGCCCAGAGCTCTCAGAGGGAGCATGGTCCTACTGATACCTTTGTCTCAGATTTCTAACCTCCAGAATTGTAAGAGAATATCTTTCTATTGTTTTTGTGGGGTTTTTTTGTTTTTTATTGAGGTCATAATCATTTATAACATTGGAAATTTCAGTTGTATATTATTATTTGTCAGTCACCATATAAATGTGGCCCTTCACCCCTTGTGCCCACCCCTCCAACTCCCATCCCCCTGGTAACCACTAAACTGTTCTCTTTGTCCATGTGTTTATCTTCCACGTATGAGTGAAATCGTACAGTGTTTGTCTTTCTCTGTCTGGTTTAATTAACTTAACATAACACCCTCAAGCTCCATCCATATCCATGTTGTTGCAAATTGGAAGATTTTGTCTTTTTTATGGTTAAGTAGTATTCCATTATATATATATACCACATATTCTTTATCAAATCATCAGTGAATGGGCATTTGTGTTGCTTCCACATCTTGGCTATTGTGAAGAATGCTGCAATGAACATAGGGGTGCATAACTCTCTTTGGATTGTTGATTTCAAGTTCTTTGGATAGATACCCACTAGTGGAATAGCTGGCTCATATGGTATTTCTATTTTTAATTTTTTGAGAAATCTCCATACTATTTTCCACAGTGGCTGCACCAGTTTTCATTCCTGCCAGCAGCGGATGAGGGTTCCCTTTTCTCCATGACCCCTCCAACATTTGTTATTTTTTGTCTTGGTGATTATAGCCATTCTAATGGGCGTAAGGCGATATCTAAGTGTAGTTTTGATTTACATTTCCCTGATGATTAGTGATGTTGAGCATCTTTTCATGTGCCTATTGGCCATCTGTACATCCTATTTGGAAAACCGTCTGTTCATATCCTCTGCCCATCTTTTGATCAGGTTGTTTGTTTTTTTGTAGTTCAGTTGTGTGAGTTCTTTATATATTATGAGATTAAACTCTTGTCAGATCATTTCTATTGTTTTAAGACATAATATTTGAGGAAATTTGTTATGGAAGCTCTAGGAAAATAATACAACCATGCAAAAATAAGTGGAAAAGTATTTGGGTACATTTTCATCATTGTGCATGTATCTTTTTTCTTCTTCTTCTTCTCCCCAAACCCCCCAGTGCATAGTTGTAGATTCTAGTTGTGAGTGTCTCTGGTTGCGCTATGTGGGACGCCACCTCAGTATGGCCTGATCAGCAATGTCATGTCTGCGCCCAGGATCTGAGCCAGTGAAACCCTGGGCCACCAAAGTGGAATGCATGAACTTAACCACTTGGCCATGGGGCCAGCCCCTGCATATATCTTTTAAATCTCCTTTTAATTTTAATCATTCTGTATGTTTTGTTTTGGTTTTCTTTTGAGGAAGATTAGCCCTGAGCTAACATCAGCTGCCAATCCTCCTCTTTTTTGCTGAGGAAGACTGGCCCTGAGCTAACATCCATGCCCATCTTCCTCTACTTTATATGTAGGACGCCTGCCACAGAATGGCTTGCCAAGTGGTGTGTAGTTCTGTACCCAGGATCCGAACCAGCGAACCCTGGGCCCCTGAAGCAGAATGTGTGAACTTAACCACTACTCCACCAGGCTGGCCCCTGTATGTATCTTTTTATATTAAATATCCAGATGACAGACTTTATAAGCAGTTTTCACATTATTTCCATACCATTTTCCTGAAAGGTTATTTTAATTTGAATTTTCCTCAGCAAATTGCTTTCATTTTTAACTGGCCAAAATGACCCAGCCTAATTCTAAGGGAGAATAATCAAGATAAGAGGATGAACCAATACTTCAGGAGAAAAATACTCCATACTAGCAAGATTACTCTTTTTGTACTTTCCATTCCCAGACAGAGTTGAAAGATTTTATTTATTTAACATAAAATGTATGAACACAAATACTTTCTTATTGTCCAAATGTCTTCACCTTTACATTTAGTTTTTTCAACTTGCTAATGAATGTCACCTATTTGATTCAGTAAATTACCATGTTATACTTGATTGATTAAATCTTGACTCAGCAATTTGGTTATCTTTTTTTCAAGGATATTTTTACCTGAAGAATTATCACTCTTAAGAATAGAAAACCTCCCAATGTAAGAAAAACTCTCGAAGTACTTAAGCAACACAAAAAACTTAGAAAAAGGATGATACTTGAAACCAACACAGAGAAACTGATGTCCATCAAGATTGTCCCTTATTGTTCTGGACCCACTCAGCAGAAAAATGTCCAAATGTTTTAAAATCCATTGTTGCAGTTCAGTCATCTTGAACCTCTAGGCAAAGAATTTCTTTAAAAAATATAACGGACATAGAGAAATGGGCCTTTTCATTCTACATGTGTAGCTCCACACATAAGAATGTGAAACTGAATAGTCCAGAATAGTTTCTGCTGCACCCGAGTTGAAAGTTAGTAAGGATACCAACAAAGAAATTGAATCACTCTGGCATTTTCTGGTAATAAATAGTAGAAAGACAGCTGGTTATAAAAAGACTTTTACAGCAGAAACTTGGCCCCGTCATTTCAAACAAAGTTTCCTTTTGTCTGGGTGAGACGTCATAGTCATGTTCATAGGTCCACCACGGTCAGTCAGCTAGAATGAACTCTTCCTACTTAATCGCTTCTCTGCTTACTTGACTGTTGTTATTGTTTGCATGGCAGTTTCTTTACTCCAACAAGTAAGATGTCATTTCCCTTCTTTATTGTGTTGGCATGGACCTTCTGGAGTAGAATGTTGTCCTGGCATGCAGTCATTGCTACATAACAGAGATGTGTGGCATTCGTAAAGCATTTCTCATATGTGGAGTTGCATGCCCGAATTGTGCACCATCTGGGTTAATACAAATAAAGTTGTAATCAATCATTCATTGCATTGTGAAATTTTATAAAAATTCATATGAATTCTTTTTTTTAACTCACCACGTGGACCTTTCCCAACAGATCTATGGCTCTATAAATCCAAGCAAGTTTATTTGCTAATAATCCCATGATTATAGCTTCGTTTGTTAGTGGTTTTATGCTTCACATAAAAATGTCATTTTTTTATTGCTAACAAGGGAGGCTTGATTCAAAACCATTTAATATGTTTCCTTTTGTGCAGATGGGTTTTGTCCATCCACTGTGCTTCATCATGTCTAAATTCCAGGGCGATAGCATTTTAACAATACGTCTAAGAATAAAAAACTATAATGTTATATTTTAATTGTTTCATCCTTACAAAGGTGTGATATATACATATTCCTTCTTCCTTCCTCTTAGAATAAAGGTGTCCTCCAGGAAAGGATTTATTTTTAACTTCCCAAATCACTTCCAGGAGAAAACCTATGGCAATACTTCATATACAAGGGAAATAAAAAAGAAAAGAAAACAGTGGGGGCTTGGCAGGGAGTGGCACCAAATCACTTCCAACTCTACTAAATTGGAAAGGAATTAAAATGAGCCTTCTTGTTTAATGCCCTTCTTTTCCAACCACTTTGACTTCACAGGAAGCTCCTCTTCACACAGTTCGAGATCCTTGTTGAATATTAATTTTGAATGGATCTGGAAGTAAATTATGCTAAAGGATAAAAGAATAATAGCAACTTAGCATAGTATTCTCTGGCTGTAATTAAGATGAAAAGAAATAACAAGTGTTGGAGAGGTTGTGGAGAAAAAGAAGCCCTCATACACTGCTGGGGGGAATGCAAACTGGTGGAGCCACTGTGGAAAACAATATGGAGATTTCTTAAAAAATTAAAAATAGAAATAACATATGACGCAGCTATCCCACTACTGGGTACTTATCCAAAGAACTTGAAATCAAGAATACAAAGAGACGTATGCACCCCTGTACTCATTGCAGCATTATTCATGATAGCCAAGATGTGGAACCAAGCCAAGTGCCCACTGACTGATGATTGAATGAAGAAGACCTGGTGTATATATATACAATGGAATACTACTGAGCCATAAAAAGATAAAATTGTGCCATTTGTGACAACATGGATGGACCTTGAGGGTATTATGCTAAGTGAAATAAGCCAGACAGAGAAAGACAAACACCGTATGATTTTGCTCATATGCGGAAGATAAACAAACACATGGATAAGGAGAACAGATTAGTGGTTACCAGAGACAAAGGGGGTTGGGGGAGGGTGCAAGGGGTATGGTGATTGATAAAAACTAGACTATTGGTGGGGAACATGATGTAGTCTATATAGAACCTGATATATAATAATGCACACCTGAAACTTACACGTTATAAGCCAATATGACCTAATAAAATAAGATTAAAAAAAATAGTATTCTTGGGTGGTTCTCCTACTCCTACCATTCTTTGGTGAAATTTCTTGCTTCATGTCAGTCTTCCATCTAGATGGTAAACATGGTGTCTTTGAAACAGGGTATGTTGACCACATAAAACAAAAACAAAAGCTATTTAACTAAAGTGAAAAAGGGGGGATTTATTATTAAAGGAAACAGGGAAATCTCAGCAAACACAATTGCAAGCTGTGCCTTACAGGAATCTCAAAATTGTCACTCATGTACACACTCTCTTCTCTTCCCACCCACATTGTGTCTCATCCTTGTTTCATATTTTTGTGTCTGCTTCTTTCTCTCAACCCTCCAGAGAAGTAGGGCAAATACTATCACACTAGCTGACAAATGTTTAAGGTCAGAAAACCGCCAAGATTAAAACCTAGATTTTTCAGAATTTCAGCTTTGTGCTCCTGTTTTGACCCTGCAGCAGTGTTCAAAATGTGATGCACAATGCTTTAGGAATTGCTATTAGCCAAGAGTTAGCTGTGGCAAAGGGAAAAACAGTGGCTGTGAATGTTAACGATCTTGGTTGGAATTTCAGTTCCGTTATATACTGTCTGGCTGGCCGAAGGGTGAGTCTCTTAACCTCGACCAGCTTCAGTTTTTCATCTGTGAAATTATGGGAAATAATATCTGCCTTTGACACCCAGAATTTTGGCATTATCAAACAAAATAATATATGAAAGCATTATAAATTAAAATGTACAGACAAATAAACTATTAACTATCTATACAATATTTTATAAAAGAAGGAACATTTTATAATTCTTTGCTATTACATTTTTCAACAGCTTTTTGAACTCCTTGCACCTTTCTCCATTTCTCCTCCCATGTCCCCATCCCAAGTCTGAAGGAGGAAAAGTAAAGCTTTGTTACTCAGTGGCAGTCCTAACTGTAATACTCATCAAGAATAGATGACAAAAGGTGAACTGTGTTTCAGTGAATTCCTGTCCATTTAAAGTAGATGGAATATTTAACTGCATTTTCACAAGTCTTCAACCTTTATGATTAATTCTTAAAACAGTGATTCATACCTTTGAAGTCAACAGATAGATATATTTTTAACAACTTGTTGATTATCTCCAGAGTTTCAAAATGCCTAACTAAAGTCCTGCATGTATCCATGTACATATGGCAAATCTAGATAGGCTAAGTGTCAAATTACCTTATATATAAGGAATTATATTAAACGATCACTGATTAACTTTGTGAGAAATTCAGTTAATTACTTAAAAATTATAATTTATTTAATAGACAAAATTTTTTAAAAACATGGGGTCCATGAGAGGAAAAAAATGAACGTGCCTCTTGATAGTACAAAGTCGGAGAAACTCTGCATTCCACTTACTAAAATAAATTGATTCTTAGCTGAAGGGAGAGTCTCCTAAGAGGAGGCAACTTACACTTGGAGCCATGTCACCACATGTTCACACTGTGGGAGCAATTTCGAAGTGGAGATCCCCACAAACTGCATCATTAGTAACATGCTCATTGTATGAGGGAAGAAGTGGAATGGAAAGCTAAGTGTGAATGGGCCTCAAAAACAGGATGGGAGCATGTACTGCTTTAAGACTGACCCCCCAAAATTCGTATCTACCCAGAGCCTCAGAATGTGACCTTATTTAGAAATAGGGTCTTTGCAAATGTAGCTAGTTAAGATGAGGTCATACTGAATTAGGGTGGGCCTTTAACCCAATGACTGGTGTCCGTGTAAGAGAGAGACTTGGAGATAGGCAAACACACAAGGAAAAAGGCCATGTGACATGGAAGCAGAGATCGGAGTGATGCTGCCGTAAGCCAAGGAGAGCCAAGGGTTGCTGGCAACCACCAGAAGCTAGAAAATGGCAGTGAAGGATTTGTCCCTGGAGCCTTCAGAGAGAACGTGGCCCTGTCGATGTCTTGATTTCGTATTTCTACCCTTCAGAACTGTGAGAGAATAAATTTCTGTTGCTTTAAGCTACCCAGTTGGTGGTATTTATTATGGAAGCCCTAGGAAATTAATGCAGAAGATTGAAGGATATTTGAAAATTATGTCTATCAATTAACAAGCTTCACTCCTCTGCTTGGACCCACAAGTACAAGGCAGGAGTTTTTCCCTGGATTTTCTGCTTCCTCTCACGCTTACATTTTCCAAAGTCAGGCAGTGAATTCCTAATTCACACAAATTTGTTAGTGGCCCAAACATGATCCTGCAATTTTCCAAAATACTTAATTTACTTAGCTCCTTGATTTGTTTACACTCAGAGCATCTGAGTCATTTACTTGTGTAAGTAAAGTGATGGATTATACACAACTCCCTGTGTATATGCATATATTTATACACAAGAACATGACTTATTTTTTTCCAGATTCAACACTTTTCTAATGTCTTATAGTCTCCAATAAGTCAGCAGCCATCAGGTGAAGAGCCATTAAATTGAGAAAGATTAACTTAAGCAAAAATTTACTAACGTGCAGCATTCGAGAACATTATCTGTGCCACATGTGATAAAACTGCATAAAACTAAAGATACACATACACACACACAAATAAACGGTTCCGAACATCTCCATACAGCAGAAACCCCAGTGGCATCTACAGATACCTTGGCACTGCCTCCACCAATTCTTCTTCAGTAGATGTGCAGTGGGGCACATACAGCTTTAATTTTTGGCAAACATCTCCTACATAAGTATGAGAAGCATGACTCCAGTTATCCTGAAGCAGGCTTTCAACAACCTGAGTCTTCCAGAACCCTGTGAAGACTCGAAATATAGTTTTCAACAAAGACTTTAGAGCCCTTGGCATACTTGCTACAAAACCAAAGCATGTGTGGCTCTCTGGGTCAGGGAGGGACTCAGTCTAATATTTGATGTGGGTTGATCTTCCTTTAAAAAGTATTCTAAAATTTTTGACTTATTGCTTGCTATGTTCACAAACATCAAAAAGACAAATCATACCAACCTAAAAATGTTTCGTGCAGTAACTCCAGACCCCAAATTATCGTATCACCATCTGACCAAAGAGGAAAGGGCTTTTGTTTTGTTTTTTAAACAGGAAACCTTTCTAACAGAATGGAAACAGAGTCTTGGAGGAGTTAAGTGAATCTCACGTGGCTAGTAGAGAAGAGACTGAGAGCCTGCAGTATGAGCACAAAACTCACGCTTTTCTACACTGTACCGGCTGAACAGCTATATAATCAGGAGAAATGTCTGATGGAGGAGAGAGGAAAGTGCATGTTTTGTAATACAGTTAAACCTAGTAACACCACCGTGTTATAAAAAGTTATTAAACTATCTCATAGAGACACTGGCCTCATAATAACCAGGATAATTCTGTAAGATAAGCAGGGAGGGTATGATCGATCCCTACTTTATGGATAAGAAATCTGAGTTGCTTCTCAAACTAGTGCAGTGGTTTTTAATCTTTTATGAGCATTATAATCACTTGAAAAGCTTGTTAAAACACAGATTTTTGGGCCCTACTCCTAGAGATCCTAACTTAGTTGGTCTGCGATGTGACCCAGGTGTTTGGATTTTTTGCAAGTCCCA